GTTCAAGGATAGGAAAAGAGGTCCAAGGGAGATTTTGAATGAAAAATTTAAATTGATGCATATTTTAAAAAAGGGTAAAATAGGTATTTGAAAATAAATGATACATCAGTTTAATCTAAATCAATGACAAAAGGGAGGTTTTTGTCAAGTTCTTCAAAAGTTCAAGGGAGGTTTTTGTTAAAGTAAAACTAGGGGAGTTTTTTATGATTATCAAAAACTTTAGTAGAGGTTTTTGTATTTTACCCTATTTATAAAGTCAATTATGTAAGGTTGAAGATGAACATTGGTGCTAGTTTGTGGAATTTCAATGTAGAAGCAAGGATTAAAGTATCGGTACCGAGTATCATATCGAACAATTTGAATACGAATACACTTTGAAAATGCGTGGATACAGACGAAAAATATGAAACAACTTGGATACACAAGAAAACACATGCAAATTTCATAAATACATTAATAACACTAAATTTATGGTCAAATAGCCATAAATTATGTATAAATATATAAGAAATATATATTTAATCGTGTACATAAAAATATATTATAATTAATAACAGAATGCACAGATATCATACAATGCATTAATTAAGAGTCCAATATGGACTTACTATATTTATACTAATTATTATATCAATTATTTTCTATTTTATTATTTTTACATTTTAACATTAAAAAAAAGTTTACCAAATATTAAATATAAATTAATTATTAAAATAATTATTTCATTATTGAAATTTCTATTTGTATATATTTTTTTGAAATTAAAGATCAATTTTTCATATAAATGTAAATTAGTGGATTTGATAAATTTAACTTAATCTTATATTCTTGAATATTTTGCAAACAGGTTTTTATTTTTTATAAATAATAAATATGTTGTCATTTAATGTTAATTAAAATATTAATTAATAATTATAAAATTTGTAAGATATATCATGTGAAACTTTATAAATTTTAAGTAGTAAGGTAATTATTCTACTATTAATATTTTATTTGTATAAATTTCTTGAGATTAAAATCATCTTTTGATATAAATATAGAAGATAGATCACTTATTCTATTTGTTTATAAAATACTAATTTTAAATATTATTTATTTTAATTTTTAATTAGAGTTGTTAAACGTAAATATTGATTATTTATTTGGATAGACATTAATAGAAAATGTGTTATATCGTTAAATATTGCAATGCATGACATGGCCAAATGGTTTGATGGAGAGTTTAAAGGTTAAGGCTTTTGGCACCGTGCACGCGATGTTCCATGTTCAAATCACGCTATTAGCAGCATTTACATCTTTAATCGAAGACGCTACGTAACAGTGGGGGTAAAGAATTAGAATCCAAAAGTTCAGAAGGGTATATGCCATAAATGAAAGTTTGGGGGACCAATTGTCACTGCCCTCTAATATAGGGTGGTAATCTGATAATCTTTAATTCACCCTTAATAATAATAGTAACAAAAAAATTACTGCTTAAAAGATGGTCTTTGAGGATCTTAAGATGTATAGTGACAATCAAGACCATCACTAAAAATTTAAAAATTAGTGATGAATAAAGAAAAATGTCACTAATTAGGTAGATATGATGATGATCTTGTAATGGCATCACTTTGGCTATTTGGAAAAAGATAACATGGGTTGTTTTGGGAGCCTCTACACATACCTTAGATAATTCAGGTCCTCGTTTGTCTTTTCAACTAAAAAAGTATTGAATATAAATACTGTTTTACCACAGTTATTATGAGATGTCATTTACAACAGGCTCCCAAAACAGCACAGGCTGTATTTTATAAAGGGATTATAGCTGATAAGGGTAACTTTTGGGTCTTATTATCAATAAAAATAATATTTTTAACATAATTTATAGAATAGGGTAACTTTTTTAAAAAATATCAAAAAAATGGTAGAAACATTGTTTATCTCCTTCCTCCTTCAGACCACCTAACAAATCTCCCCACCTCCGGTCTCAATCTTTCTCTTTCCTCCTCATCCTCCTCTTTCTTCTTCTTCCTCTTATTTCTTCTTATGCCTCTCCTTCTTCTTCTTCTTCTTCTTCTTCTTCTTCTTCTTCTTCTTCTTCATATGAGTTTGGAGCAAAGCTACTATGAGTTCTTCTAAAACAGTTAGAAGAACACATTCTCCCACCAAGTAACCAGCAGTCGCTCGCTGCTGTTATGAATTCCTAGCCATCAATTCTTTCAAGGATCTGAAGCAGAGGGTTCCGGCGATCTTGGGCGTGGAAGTGGTTCCGAAAGGAGGGCCAACGGTTCAGGAAGCGGTGATGAAGCTCTTTCATGGCCATCGAAAGGAGGAGGAGGAGGAGGAGGAGGAGGAGGAAAGAGAAAGATAGAGACCATAAGTGGGGAGATTTGTTCAATGGTCTGAAGGAGGAAGGAGATGAAAAAGTGTTTCTACCTTTTTTTGATATTTTTTAAAAAAGTCACCATATTCTAGAAATTATGTTAAAAATATTATTTTTATTGATAATAAGATTATAAGACCCAAAAGTTGCCCTTATCAGATATAATCTCTTTTAGGAAGTGATATCACTTTGAGCTTACTTTCAACTATTGACAGCTTGCACCACGTGCACAGGTGTAAAAGGCCTTCAGCACCCTGGACTTAAAAAGGAACTTTGGCCTTTGGGGCTTTAGTAATTAAAGCTGAAGAAAAAAAAATACCAAGACCCCTTGCTCCCTTTCCCATGCTTTAGGTGTTAGGTGTTCCACTGCAAATAAAAAGTATAAAACCTTCATGTTCTCAAACTTCCAAGACAATCAAAATTGATATGCCAAATACCTTTTCCATTGAAAGCCCACCATAATGAATGGAAGGGGTAAACATTATACATGGAATAGGCAGTTAGACTGGCTTTTCCAAAATTTGAATGGATCCAGTCCAAAGCCCAAGTCTAACATAATGTAAAATCAAGGCTGAAGCCCAACCCATGAACAGGTCTAAAGGTAACTATGACATACAACTCTACCCAATTAAATCTCCACCAACCTTAACAATATACAACTACGATAAACAACCATTTTCCTGCATTTATTAATTTGATATATTACATGCAAATCCTATAAGGTACCATATCCATTCTACTCCTCTCAAGAACCTAGCCTTTTATATATACAGATAGTACTTAATATAGCCAATAATCTTAGTATCTTACTATGAAAAACAGAGAAAAGTAAGTATAAAATAACGAAAAAGAAAAAAAGAAACACAAATGATTTTGTCATGACAGAAGCAATACCACACCCTTTCAGGCAATTCCATCAAATCACCATCCCAAACATGAAAATCTATTCCCAACAATCTAGAACCAGACTCCTATAATTATCAATCCTTTTTTATTTTTTTTGAAACAAAATTACCTTACAATTTTCAATAGAAGAATCCTAGATCGTTCTGGCAATATTATCACAGTGGAGAACTCAAGTCATTTCGATAAAACATCCTTGAAATGTGATGCAATGAAACCTGATCCCGAATAGTGTCAAAATGATTCTAGTAGATAAACAATGAAACAAACTAGATACTCCTGAATAGTCTCCAAACCACGCAGCTTTTGTGTCCTGATAACCTATATATTTCGGTATACCTTGCCCATCATTCTTGAGGACAGGTGTACGGAATCCATACCTTTACGGCTTTACCCTGAAAACGGTTCTGCATCCAAGCTTTGGTTCGGAAATGTCATTGACATTTTTCATATCATCAACACTTGTCAACTTGTATACAGATGAGAAATGTGAAAGACCAGAATCATTCCAAGTGTAAGAGATGAATTTTGACATGTGTAAGATGAATTTGGATCTCCTAAACTTAACGCTTTATGCTAACTTGTACACTAGCCAAAGGTTGGTTTTGGTTGATCAAACTCTCAGAAGTCAGAATAGGTGGTCATGATACCGGAAGATCTCACTTTTTTAGTCTAACTATGACTTGTCATTGGTTAGTGTACAAGTAAGCACAAAGAGTTAGGAGATGCGTACTGGTAAGAGATCCAGACATATTAGCAGGCTTTTAGTCGATGATGTGCTCTTGCTTAGGAGTTAGGAATGTTATCAGAGATGTACGCTGCTGCACTCTTAGGTCTCTGGCTAAATTCTGGCATTCCACATACATTCAGACAGTTAATCTTCTGTTCAAAATAGCAAATTCCCAATGCAACAATCCGCCAAAGGCGCCAACTTAAACTCTCTCCAGTGGATGATCTCAAAAGTCAAGATCCAGCAGCGTTGACACAGTTACGTTGACATTATAGTCCACGTATAAGAAACGAGCTTGCTCACAACTCAAAAGAAACATTCTTAGATTGTTTTCCTACAAAACCTCACACCATGTATCTCTGGGACTAATTCTCGCCTTTGAACTTGAATATTTCATCCTTCACCAAAAGGAAAAGATCTTGATCTCCTGTACTATCCAAGCTGACAGATGTGGACAGTACAAATGAAAAAGGAAATGCAAGTGAAATGAAGCATACCCTGATGTAATAATAGTAGATATTCAGGGATGTCACCACCCACCAAAGGAAAAAGGATGCGTCCTGGTTGCTCCTTTCTATAGACTAAGTGACTAACCATGCAGCTGGGCCTACAGAATGGCGTGCCTCTCTTCCATGCCACTGTTTATACTTCATTAAATTGCACCCATAGGCCCCTTGGATTGAGGCCATTGAATGAAATTACCACGTTTTTATCGAAATGGAAGACATAATTTCTTTTCCCAGAAGAGCCAGGATCCCGTTCGGGTTCAGTACATGATACACCCGTAGTTCCATACCCTGGTATAGATGTCCGTTGCATGAAAAAAAAAAGAACGAAAATTAACTTCCGTCATTCATGTCTGTTACTTCTTTCACAGTTTTACTAGAACAAGTAAAATTCTCGTTCATAAAAAGTTGAAGATTACAACATAAATAAAAGAATTGTAGGAGAACAATATCCAAAAATACATAGAAATAACAAAAAAACGGAAAAAGGAATGCAATATGGATACACAGGCAAGTTACCTATATTAAAAGGCAATGTAAATATGAAATACATCTTGACCAAGGAAAACCCTAAATCTCTGATAGAAGCTTTGTAAAAGCGTGTAGATGAACAACAATGACTGACTAAAATTTCAATTGAGCAAGATTTTAGTACAAAGACCATAACTTTCTAAGCATTTAAATAAGGGTCTTCATTGTGTACATCAAAATGCACTTACTGGAGCGATAAACGATGTAACTTTATGCCCCTCACTTCAACTCCTGCATCCAACATATAGTCTTCTATTACATTCACAAGTTTTTTTGTTTTCAGCTCAATAACAAATATCACTTCACTAACCTAGGGAGAAATAGCCTGCAAAAAATAACCTCTGCATGGATGATAGTAAGAAATTAAGAATAGTAATAAGCCATGGAAATCAGGACGCAAGGCAATCTACAAATGCCCTCTTTAGCTCTTAAATAGGGGGTGTTAGAGTGGCAGGTGACTGGCAGGTTTATTCTGTTTTGATGTGGTTTTGAAAAGAGAAGGAAAAGTTGCTTCCATACCTATATATCCAGATCTATGACCATAAAAACCCCCAAGGAAATAAAAAACATGATTCTCAATATTAGAAAAAGTAACTTCTAAAAACAGAATCATGGTTTGCTTTATAGGGTGTAGGGTCGGAAATTGGGATCGATAATTGTGCAAAATTAGGAGTTGCTCAACACTACCATCCTCCTATCTCTCAAGGAAACTCTTTTTTGAAAGCCCAGTTTTTTCAAAAGTACCACGCTTAAAATCAACAACCTGCATTTCGAACACCACCATAGCCTCCTAATGAACATTTATAGAACAACCCAAGAGATTGCTCTTGACTGCAAATGCTTAATTAGTTGGAGAATTAGAATCATCAGGTACATGGAACTTTGGAAGTATGGATAATGCATTGATAATCTGAGTTGGAAATTGATTGCAATGTAATTGTGGCATGCTAACTGGATAGGCAGGAAGTTAAAGTATTGTGAAATCTGCCCTTCGTAAAAAGATTTGACTTTGCTGGAGTGTTACTGAGAAGTCTGTGAGTCCTGAAATGTTTATACTTTATAGAGTGGACAGGAGAAAAAAGAATTTTCTATATTATGGTGCATTTTGAACTCTTCCCCCACTATAATGTGCACATTTTTAGTTTCTGGAATCTCCAGTTTACATGGGATAACAAATCATTACATTGTAACAAAATATTCAGGTAGCAGCATTCACATTATCCCATCCAAGAATGAAATAACTTGTAAAAGCAAAAACCATGAAGATAAAGCTGATCAGTTCAAACCTGAGTTTGTAGCATGTTTTCCTTCTACATTTTTAATCAACTTCAGAAGTTTGACAGTGTTGCTCCTCAATTAGGGTTTGAACTCTCTATAGCATTATGGATATGAGCCATAAGTATTATGTTTTGAGGTATAACATAAATATCTAACAAACTTTGCAAGTTTTCTACCTTCACAGAACTTTCAACCTCCTCCAATTTTTGCAATATCAGTTCCCCTGATTGAGGAAACAACTCATGCCTGAGAGATTTTGATGGGGACATCTGCAATTAACACGAAATAATTAATAAAATAACATATTCCAGAAAAAACAGGATTCTGAGAAAGATTAAATGAAATATCTCAATAAGATGATAATTGATCAAGTTATGGAATTTCCTTCTCAAACAGACTCAGCCCTAAAGTTGGCAAAAACAATTCCTTTTTGTTGAGATGGTATGATGCATTGTAAAAAAAATACAATTATTTATAAGAAAAAAGAATAAAATAATTTAAGAGAAAGCACCAATACCAGATTTGATGTAACACCTATACCAATATTTTGCCGTATCCTAGCTGCAGTTGAATAACCTATCCCAAAATTTGGAAGATCTTCATTTACAGAAAGTTGCCTAGAGAAAGTTTCACTCCTCATATTTGAAAGACGTGTTAGGACAGCCTAGGCAGTGGATGAGTGGACATAAATTAATTAATACCTGATAAAACAAGAATCACCCAGAAAGACTGCTAATTGGTTGTACCTTTCTGAAAGCTCTGGGATTTGTGATGCCTTGAATTTGAACATCATCACTTGGTGGCCTTCTTACACCAACGTTCTCGATTCTAACAGAATAAACACCAAACAGGGACTGCAAATATCCTGATTATAATGGAACTTCTTTTAAATATTTGCAATAATGTTGAGCCATCTAATAAGTCAAGAAACCGAAAAAGAGTACTGGAACATAGACCAAAAACATGGTATCTTTGAAGCAGAAATAACAACATTAAATATTTTCCTTGCATAATTAATACGCAATAGAAGGAGAGTATGACATCTACTTAACATGGATGCAAGAAGTAAATATAAGAGGTGTAACTTTTTCATGTATGTACCAAGATCATCTTATAAGTTCTAAATATGTAAAGAGTACCTGCTATCAGCAAATAAGTTTTTATGATTTCCCCCTTTTTTGAGAACAAGAAAGTCTATGAATACATGCATGCAGAAAATGCCTTTGAACATATGGAATAAACATACATTGTATATGGTCCACAGACATTTATGAAGCTTGGATGTGGGATAACAAACATAACAGGTCAGTCGTGTTGAATCCAAGGTGTAGCACAAAGTCTGTATATGTAAGGTAAAACCAGTTCAGCTTTAAGTGTTCAAAGCAAAAATGTTCAGAATGACTTTAGCATGTACTACAGGAAACCTGTTGTTTTGTAAAAGATCCAATCTAATCAAGTCATGGTCCATATATCAAGTTTGATTAATAGGTAGGTGGTTTGTAATAACCCCATCCCCCAGCCAATCATCCACCCAAGCACAAAAAAGAAGTGAATATAACTTAAGAATCTACAGTATTCAGGTCGCAGAGAGTATATGCTTATAATGCGTCCACAAGTTTGCTTTTACCTTGTTCAACGACAATATCAGCAACTGAAGGCAGAAGAACATGCTTCTCTTTCTTCAGCACTCCGAAACATGGGAAAGGTACTGGTCTTGTAACCTGAGGCCCAACAAGTGAGAGTTGGCTAAGCAGAGACACTATGTAAATAACATATTTTAGATAGTAAGTGAAAGCATTAGTTAATTTCCTAATTTACAAAGATATATCTATAGAAAAACATTCTAGTTCGTATCTTTGTTTTCACCAATTTTACTGTTTTAGTTTTAAGTTTTAAAGTGTTCAAGAAAAAGCAAAAAAAAAATAATAATATATGGAATTATGGCAAAATAAAATATGGAATTTTATGGGATGGTCTTGTGAACCACTTTGGCAACTTCAACCAAAATAACATATGGAAAATTTATGGCAAGTTATCGATTGACACTGTAGACTATACACTTTTGCGTGACTTAACCGAATGTCCATCAATACCAAAACACATGAAACTTTAAAACCTGGGGGTAAATTACCTTGTAAACTATGGCATTTGCGGTAACATACAGCTTTCTTGACTGGATGTCCTTACGTAGTACATATCTCCTCACGGGGAGATAAAGTAACATGAACAACCCAATTCCCCAAGCCAAAATCAGAAGTAATGAGTAAAGAACCCATTGAGCAGTTTGGTACTTCACATAATTTTCCTCCATTTCCTGGAATGATGCCGTGTATAAAATTGTACCATCTTCACCTTCATTGTCTTCATTAGAGTCCGTATCTGACAGTAGTCGTCTCTCCAAGAAATCAATTTCTACAACCCCATCTCCGGATCCCATCTGGAACATAGAATCAATGCATATACAATTACCAGAAAAAGGAACTAACAAATTACAGACTACGTTAACAAAGTAACTATATGAGCATCAGTGAGAAGAATGGAATAGAACAGTATAAAAGTACAAACCAACAAAGCAATTAGGTTTTCTCATCGCTGTCTTTCCCAACACTGTATATTCTGTCACTCGAAGTTTTAAGCAGCAATTGATGTTTAAACCATTATAGTAGTTAATTATAAACAAAACAAGAAAAGCAAATCGAATTCTCCTCACAAACCTAAAATGATTTAGCCACTTCCGTCATAATAACTAATAAGAGGACCAACAAAACCCTAAAATAGCTCTAAGATAACTAATGGAATTGTTGATTCAACAATTCAGAAGATACAAGATTTCAAACGTTTGCAGAGGGTTCGGTTTTGAAGAATGATCAAGGAAGTACCTGTTACTCGATCGATCCTATTCTCAGTGGAAACTTTCACAGATCCCAAATGACCGAGGTTCCCATTAACATGTCTTGTTTTTGAATGTCTGAGATACACCAACAGAAAAAGAAGAAGAATTCTGATAGGTCTAATTGATCTATACCGCCCCAAGGAACAACGAGGCGGATGAATAGTGATAACATGTATCGATGCCTATACATTACCAAAATCCTTCAATGGTTCTAATTGATCTATACCGCCTAAACAAAATAAAAAGCATTCTGATCACACGGTTAGGATATGACCCGGATTAATTTATGGATTTCATCAATACCGCTAATTTTCCTATTCACCGGGAAAAAAGCGAAGCATGTACTTATGCTTTGCCTTTTAAACAAGCAGTCAGCTAATCAGTTCCATCACTCTCTCTTTCGATTCTCTCCGCAGGACTGTTAGGTAGGTGACTAGGTGTTGGTCTAATCTAAGATCACATCAACGCCGCGCCCTTCATATAGGGTGTAAACGGATCGAATTCGAATCGCATCATGCAATATCCGAATTCGAATATGATATTTGATAGATATTGAAAATTAATATTTGAATTTGAATTTGATTAAATTTTTGAATATTCAATTCGAATTCGTCTAATTAATTTTTTGGGTAATTAATAAATATATAAATTATATAAATTATTTATATAATTTACTTATTATATATAAAATATTTAAAAATCTTATATATTATATATAAAAATTAAATAATCAATCAAATTTGGATATTTATCAAATCGAATCAGGTCATATCCGAATTCAATCCGATTAGTTATTCGGTATAAATAGGATATCAGAACTTGATCAATTAGATATCCGAATTATTCAAATTTGATTCAATTATATCGAATCTTGAATTTGAAATTAGATTTTCAAATACCATTGACACCTCTACCTACATACACGTCTCAATGTGCATTGTGAATATCTTTTGTACTTCTCATTAAGAGATGTTCTTAGTACACGGTTCGAATTTATCATGGGCAAATGAACACCATTTTGTTGGAATGGGAATGGCATATTTCCGACGCCAGTTTGGTTGAAACGATAGTTGGAATTGGATTTACACTCTTTGCTGTTTGGTTTAATTATAAGTTGAATTTGAAACTAATCAAAATTTTCAGTTTTACCCTTATTAAAAAAATAAGAAGAAGAAAGAATAGTGGGAAGAAGTAGTCACAGTTGGACGGCTTTGTTGGGTTAATGTCATGATGGGAGTACGGATTTGGAAGAATAAGAAGAATGAAGAAAAATAAAAGATAGAAAAAAAGTGGACAGCTTGTGGACAATATTAATAGTGGCAGCGACAAAGGGAGGAAGGAAAAAGAGAGAATAACGGAGGAAGAAGAGGGAAGATAAACAAAGGGAAGAAAATGAATAAGAGAGAAGCGAGGTTTTAAAAATCGAACTATAATTGGATACGGAACCGTTTTGGCAATTGGTTATGGTTTGAAATTAAAAAAATAAAAAATAAAAATGGCCAAAACCATTAATTGGATCAACGATCAATAGTTCGATCGCTCGGGTCAAAGGCCGATAAAGTGTACTTTCAAATGCCACCAATTGGGTGAGACCCTGTTGCTTCGAATGCCTTACTAGTTATTGGCACTTGTGTATGTATGTTACACGTTATAAATTTTGTGATGATGATAATATATAATATATTTTTATTTTTTTTACAATTTTTATATTTCTACATCTATAAAAATGATATGTCCAAATAAAATTATTGCAAAGGTAACGAGAATTAATAAAATTCTTACTATTCTTATTTATTATGGTTAATTAATAAAAATAATACAATTATAAATTTTATCATTACCTTCTTTTTGTTTTAATTATTGTTGCCTTTGCAATAATTAACTTTTATATGATAAATCCAACTTTAGCTCCTTCAACAATTGAAAACCTTACAATGAACATAAAAAAAAAATATCACTTACTATTGTAGATATCTTGCCATTCAACGATGTATGTAGGTTTTAAGGTAACGAAAATGAGAAATTAACCCACCATATGGTAGGAATAAAGAATAGAGAGCCATCTTACCTTAATGATCAAGCATTAAGCCAGTGAAAATAGGTTACAAATATTTTAAAAAAGAATAAAATAGTTTAAAAAATAAATTGTGCATCAATTTGCAAGTTAGAAATCTCTTTATGGTGACTAATGTGGCCCAAAATTGGCTATTGAAAACATATGATGTACTTTCAGTTTTTTTTTAATTTAAATAAATAATGGGTAAATTGTTAAAATCTCCCATCAAATTTTTATGATATTCTACCAAAAAGCACAAAAATGTCCGAAATATCCATATATTTACTCTTTGACCAAAATATTTATTTTCCAATTTTTTTTCTTCATATCATTCACTACCCCAATCCCTTATAATCTCTTTGTTGGAATTGATGTATTTTCCAAATTTCCCCCTCATATCAATTGCTCAAAGATAAAATTGCAACTTTAAAATCTCTTATTTTTTGTTGTTCATGAAATTTATATTGTTTTCTATGTATAAACCAATTAATAACATTTTTGTCATTTACTTGTTTTACAAATATGAACAAAATGAATTGAGTTTTGTGTCTTTTTTGTAATAAACATTAAATGAGAAATAAGAGTTATTTCCTGATAAGCATTCAATAAGAAAACAAAATTACATATTTACCATTGCTCATTCTCTGATTCAAACCTTAGAGATGGGATATTTTAGTCTAGTGAAAATTACAAAAGCCAACCATATCTATTCTTACTTTTTATAGACCGTATAGATTACCAGTTATTTGAAGCTTCGAACGCCTTGCTTATAGTGACACAATGTTCAATGGGTAGGATCAACATCGTTATTAATCATCAAAATTGTGTTGCCAAGCTTTCAATGATCGTTTCCTGTATTTTGAGAACTAAAAACTTTGACAGTTGCCTCTTGTTTAACAGCATGAAGACCATTTTCGGCTGTTTTGAAAAGGATTCCCATTTGCGTAGGTTTCCCAAGGCCTCTCCCCCACCCTCGTAACAATAGGCTTTTCACTGAGTTAAAAGTGAATTGGGTTTAGATCCTGACCAAAAAGGTTTAGGAATTCATTTGTTATTGCCCTTGAACCAAAACCCAATGCAATGACACCATTATCTTTCTTTACATTTAATACCAGTGTGGGTACTACCGAATTGCCCTAGAAATATAAGGCCCCGTTTGGTTCATGGGAATAGAGGTATGGAATCTAGTATGCATTAGGTGAATAACCATCTACAATGCATGTGCTTTAGAAGAAATGGATTATCAAATATGAGATAAATGGGCAAATAGATAAAAATAAAGCATAAACAATAAAACAAGCTATTTTCTTACACATTTTATATACAAGTTTTTGTTATTTGTATGTTTATTTCTTTTCTCATTACACCAGTATATACAAAACAAGGTTTTTATTGTCTTAAATATATATTTGACCCTAATGTAAACCTTCATATTGTCTTAAATACATATACAAAATAAAGCATGGTTAAGGCCTACGCCTAACAACTCAATGCCTAAGCATTGCTGGTGGGGAAGGCTATCAAGGTGAGGCCTTTTTTCGTAGCCTCGCCTCAAGAGCCTTTTAAAACAATGGAATGCAGACGTTGAGAACATGAACTTTATCAGTTACAATACCTCCAAATTATCGGGAATGGATCTCACGGTCTCACTTAACCCCAGTATCCATGGGGACAAGAACGATGGCATGGATTCCAGCGGCCCTCACAAATCCATGCACCAACCATTGTTATCAGATCCTCGGAAGACAATGCTCATTGATGTAGCGCGATCTGGTCACCCCTATCTGGCACTCGCGTGGCTCCTGAGAGGTACCTGGAACGAGAGGGAAGAATAAGAACTCCCGGGGGTTTGCCCGGCGGGAACACTCCGATGATTAAGTCAGTATTTCGTGCAAGAAGCAAAGGGAAAACGAAGGCTAAGAGTGAAGATTGCGCAAGTGATTCGAAGATACCTTGTTCCTTGAGAATAAGCCCCTTATAACTGAATTTCGTTGCTTCAGGCCCTCTGCTTCTGACAGGGCAGGTATAACCACCACTGTCAATCTGCCACAGCCGTTACTGGCAAGGCTGAGGTGGCACGCGCGGGGCCGTTGTTGCAGGGTACGTGCCTGTCAGGTGCGAGACACCTTTCTAAAGGTGACAGGCGCGGCGCTATCTAACGAGGGACATGCCTACTGTCCACAGATTTGTCGGGTACGACGGTCGAGCAAAAAGCCTTCCTGCGGTATGCCGAGCTACCCTTCCACGAATTACCCTGAGTCGGGTTGTCTCTTGAGTGATGAGCTGCCTGTAGCAAGTTATGCCGAGCTGGCTGACCCGAGGTGTCTATGCCTCGGGGTGTCCAGAGGAGCTCGGGCCTCAAGAGAGGTCAGGATGCCCCGAACTCGGGGCGCCCCGAAGTGCCTTAACCCCGGAGAGGAGGTGCGAGTGAGGCGGCTTCCGGCGAGTGGTTTATCCGCCCAGTTGCCGAGCTGAACTCGGTGGGACTTTCCCTCCGAGTTGTGGTCACGTCCATTGCGCTGTCATGCTGAGTCACTGTTTGAGCAAGGTCATGCCCACGTGTACCTGTACTGCGAGGTCGGGCCAAATCACCCCCCACTCCCTACGCTGGCAGCGATGACCCAGCACGGGGAGGTCATGACACACCGGGTGGATTTGGCGTTGGTCTTCATGCCGCTTTGTCGCGCGCTTCGTCCAGCTAGACCGGTCTAGCGCCTGGTTTGATAAAAAAAGACTCGAGTCGTGTCTGAATTACGCGCGGATCTCACGCGATTTGGACTTCGCGGACGTCAAAAAAGCGCTAAACTGTTTTCACCTCGAGGAACCCGCAACTGTGGCTATAAATAGGGGTACCCTTGGCCATTTTCTTTGCCACAAAGCTCTCGTCGTTAGTGTTTGAGCTCGTGTCGGAGATCTCTTAGCTCGGGTCTTCCAGTTCGTCCTGTTCTCCCAGTCCGGTTGCATTTCTTTTGGTGAGTCCTCCCGAGCTTCCTTCCCCTTTTCAATTGTTTCTTCCCTTTAGTTCGCTATGTCGTCTAGTGTAGACAGCCTTATCGACGAGCCCGAGGTGGGTACCTCGGCTCGGGGTGGCTCCTCTGTTGTTCAGCCATCCGAAGTACGGGTGGCTTCGGGTCATCTGGCGTCCACCTCCCACCGAGGTCGGGAGCCAGATCAGTTCGACACTTCCATAATGACTTCGGAGAGGCTTCAAGACCTCATACAGAGGTTCCACCTCCCTAAGGAATACTCATATAGCCTTCCCACCGGCAACTTCCCATGGGAGCGCGGTCC